AGTTTTTATTTTGCAAGTATAAGGTGATGTTTATTCATCTCAGTGTCAATTATGTTTTTTAGAGTGTCATGGAATGTGTAAGTTTGTGTGAGGTAACCTACAGACTGCTCCAACTGTAATAGGGGTTTTTAAGCTTTTATTCGAAAATCTTGCAAATGTATATTCACCTTTTTCATATTCCAGGCCAACCATAGATATTTTACTAAACCAAGCCATCAACACTTAATTCTTGGACACTTCTGGCAAGATACCTATTGAATGGTGTCTTGTGGCTTGGTTGGCAGTGCTCCTGCCTCACACTGAATGTACGTGGTTCAATCCCCAGCATGGGTGGAAACACTGGGCATGTTTCTTTACACCTGCTGTCCCAGCTCCCCTAGCAGTAAGTACGTACCTAGGTGTTAGTCAATTGGTGTGAGTTGCACCCTGGGAGACAAGCCAGAAGGACCCCAATGGAAATATGAGACAATCCTCAATGACGCACTGACTTTCTTGGATTATCCTAGGTAGCTATCTCTCTACCCCTGGTTAAAAATCCCAACAAATCTTGTCTTTTCTTAACAAATGACTGTGAATGTTTTCTCTTCTTTTATATAGGTCACCCTACCTCAGTGGGAGATAGCTTGTGTACAATGTACAGTGGACCCCCGGTTTACGATCAGCTCCCAATGCGACCAATTATATAAGTGTATTTATGTAAGTGCGTTTGTATGTGTATGTTTGGGGGTCTGAAATGGACTAATCTAATTCACAATATTCCTTATGAGAACAAATTCAGTCAGTACTGGCACCTGAACATACTTCTGGAATGAAATAATATCGTAAACCGGGGGTCCACCGTATTAGAAAAAACTTCACCAAGCACAAAGTTAATGTATATCACACATGCAGTAAGCAATTATCGACAGAACAGAACATCACATATTAGCAAATTCTAATAAAGCAAACCGACATAAAGTGAGGTAAACCTGTACTGTGTATACCACATAATGCACAAACTTTGCAGTTTGTAGGTTAGATAAATTATACATTAACGGCTTACAAAATCAGAAAAGGAGATGAAGTAGTTTGTATATTATACATGAATGGTATACAGTACCGACAAGATGAAGAATTAGACACATGTGCAATATCTGAGTATCATTAATTTATAGATGTTTTACCATCCAGTGGCTTCATCAGTACACCACAGAGACATACAGAGACATGTGAAGACTATATAAATATATACAAAAGATGGGGTAATCAGTCCCTCAGCCTAGGAGTAGGTGATGAGCACTGTAGTCTTGTAAAGTACAGTGGACCCTTGGTCATCGGCCATAATCCGTTCCAGAAGCTCAGCCTAAAACCGAAATGGCAAAAAAACGAAATAATATTTCTAACAAGAATTAATTTAGTTACAATTAATCTGTTCCAGACAAAAATGTTCACCAAAAAATAATTTTTTTAACTTAATTAAATCAGTATTAAATACCTTCAGTGAAGACTAATGCTGGCTTCTGGAATGTCTGCTACACTTAGCATGCCTGCTACACTCACAGTACACCTGCTACACTCAGCATGCCTGCTACACTCCCAGCATGCCTGCTACACTCACAGCATGCCTGCTACACTCAGCATGTGTGCTACACTCCCAGCATGCCTGCTACACTCACAGCATGCCTGCTACACTCACAGCATGCCTGCTACACTCAGCATGCCTGCAACACTCAGCATGCCTGCTACACTCCCAGCATCCCTGCTACACTCCCAGCATCCCTGCTACACTCCCAGGATGCCTGCTACACTCCCAGCATGCCTGCTACACTCCCAGCATGTCTGCTACACTCAGCATGCCTGCTACACTCACCATGCCTGCTATACTCAGCATGATTGCTACACTCCCAGCAGGTCTGCTACACTCCCAGCATGCCTGCTACACTCCCAGCATGTCTGCTACACTCCCAGCATGCCTGCTATATTCAGCATGCCTGCTACACTCCCAGCATGTCTGCTACACTCAGCATGCCTGCTACACTTAGCAGGACTGCCACACTCAGCATGCCTGCTACACTCCCAGCATGTCTGCTACACTCCCAGCATGCCTGCTACACTCCCAGCATGTCTGCTACACTCCCAGCATGCCTGCTACATTCCCAGCATGCCTGCTACACTCCCAGCATGCCTGCTACACTCCCAGTATGCCTGCTACACTCTCAGTATGCCTGATACACTCCCAGCATGCCTGATACACTCCCAGCATGCTTGCTACACTCCCAGTATGCCTGCTACACTACCAGTATGCCTGCTACACTCCCAGTATGCCTGCTACACTCCCAGCATACCTGCTACACTCCCAGTATGCCTGCTACACTCCCAGCATGCCTGCTACACTCCCAGTATGCCTACTACACTCACAGTATGCCTGCTACACTCCCAGCATGCCTGCTACACTCCCAGCATGCCTGCTACACTCCCAGCATGCCTGCTACACTCCCAGCATGCCTGCTACACTCCGCATGCTGCTACACTCCCAGTATGCCTGCTACACTCCCAGCACGCCTGCTACACTCCCAGCATGCCTGCTACACTCCCAGTATGCCTGCTACACTACCAGCATGCCTGCTACACTCCCAGCATGCCTGCTACACTCCCAGCATGCCTGCTACACTCCCAGTATGCCTGCTACACTCCCAGCATGCCTACTACACTCCCAGCATGCCTGCTACACTCCCAGCATGCCTGCTACACTCCTAGTATGCCTGCTACACTCCCAGCATGCCTGCTACACTCCCAGCATGCCTGCTACACTCCCAGTATGCCTGCTACACTCCCAGAATGCCTGCT